TGAGGCAGGAGGAGCACTTGTACCCAGGAGAATTGCTTGAACTCAGGAGGCGGAGGTTGCAGTGAGCCAAGATTGCGCCACTGTACTCCAGCCTGGTGCCTGGTGACAGAGCGAGACTCTGTCTCAAAAAAAAAAAAAAAAGTGCACAAAGGTTCCCATAAAATAACACATTTCTTAAAAGTTTGAGCCATTTTGAGTTCCATGCAACCAAAAAACATCCCAGCTGAACCAGACCTAAATGTTCATTAATAGAAAAAACTGCCGGGCACGGTGGCTCACGCCTGTAATCCCAGCACTTTGGGAGGCCGAGGCGGGTGGATCATGAGGTCAACAGATCAAGACCATCCTGGTCAACATGGTGAAACCCCGTCTCTACTAAAGATACAAAAAATTAGCTGGGCATGGTGGCGCGTGCCTGTAATCCCAGCTACTCAGGAGGCTGAGGCAGGAGAATTGCCTGAACCCAGGAGGCGGAGGTTGCGGTGAGCCGAGATCGCCATTGCACTCCAGCCTGGGTAACAAGAGCCAAACTCCGTCTCAAAAGAAAGAAAAAAAGAAAAAACTGTTTAGGGGAATTATAATACATATATTAGCCCTTAGCATCTGCACATCTATTAATAGAGAATTGCTGTAAATCCATGATACACTGTTAAGCCAAAAAATGGACTTCTCATATTTATTCATTTGGCAATATTACCTGAGCCTCAGGTACTATATTAGATGCTGAGGATTCAGTAGTAAGCATGAGGGACACAGGTAGAAGAATACGGCTTACTAGGCAAATAGAGTAGTTGAAAGTTGCCAGAAGATTATGAAAGTAATCCCAGCACTTTGGGAGGCCGAGGCGGGTGAATCACGAGGTCAAGAGATCGAGACCATCCTGGTCAACATGGCGAAACCCCGTCTCCACTAAAAATACAAAAAATTAGCTGGGCATTGTGGTGCGTGCCTGTAATCCCAGCTACTCAGGAGGCTGAAACAGGAGAATTGCCTGAACCCAGGAGGCGGAGGTTGCGGTGAGCCGAGATCGCGCCATTACACTCCAGCCTGGGTAACAAGAGCGAAACTCCGTCTCAAAAAAAAAAAAAAAGAAAACCCACAGGACAAACATGAGAAAAACAGGGAGCAGGGACACCTACTTTTCTTGATGTGGACAGAGAAGTTCTGTCGAGGAGGCGGCACTGAAGCTGAAAACCTAATGGCAGGAAAGCATGTTGTACAAAGAGTGGCTGGAGGTAGGAGGAACCTACCTGTTCCAGGTAGAGGAAGAGCAGATGCCGAAGGACTGAGCCAACCAATGGGTATCTGAGGAATGAAGGGTGGTCAGAGTCTGCATTGTTAAGACTTTATATTCTAAGAGCATGGCTTTCATCTGTGCGTGGAGAAAGGATTGGAGAAGAACAAAAGGGGAAGTAGGGAGACCCGTGAGGAAGGTGCGGTAGAAATCCAAGTGGGAAGGAATGGTGGGCCCTGGAGCAGGATGATGCAGGAGGGGTGGAGAGAAGAGGGCACTTTGGGATAGGTTTTGGAGAGGGAGAAGATTTGCTGATGGACAAGATGCTCAGGAAGAGGGAAAGAGAGCAATCACAGGTCACTTCTGGCTGGAACGACTGGAACCACTTATTTAAATGGGGATTGGCCGGATGCCGTGGCTCACATCTGTAATCCCAGCATTTTAGGGGGCTGCAGCAGGTGGATGACTTGAGGTCAGGAGTTCGAGAACAGCCTGGCCAACATAATGAAATCCCGTCTCTACTAAAAATACAAAAATTAGCCGGGCGTGGTGGTGGCGCCTGCAATCCCAGCCACTCAGAAGGCTGAGGCAGGGGAATCGCTTGAGCCTGGGAGGCAGAGGTTGCAGTGAGCCGTAATGAGCCACTGAACCCCAGCCTGGGCGACAGAGTGAGACTGTCTCAAAAAAAAGAAAAAAATCCAAAAGAGGTGACTCGTGGTGGAGTATGGAGGGCTTGGGGGTTCACTGAACACCTGCTGATGAATTGCAGTTCAACTCTGGCATGAATCACCTGGAGTTAGAACAGATCCTGCAAGTTTAAGAGTAGTTTCCAAGAAGGTTGCCCTTATTTCAGGTGCCAACCACACTTGGGTGTCCCCACGCCACTTGCACTTCAGACCAACTGGCTACACAGTCAAGAGTATCCATGACCCCCTCAAGGCTGATAATGCACTAGAATGACTCACAGAATTGAGGAAAGTGCTGTAATTATAATTTATAGTTTTGTTAGAAATAATACAAATTAGGACCAGCCAATTGAGGGGATACATTAGGTAAGGTCTGTGAGTACCGAACACAGAGCTTCTGTGCTTTCTCCCTGTGGAATCAGGGCTGTCGCCCTCCCAGCACATCAACGTGTTCAGCAACCAGGACGCTCACTCCATGGATCTTCAGTGTCCAGAGTTTTTCCTGGGAGTTCATCATGTAAGCATGACTGATTGAGTCACTGGTCACAGGGTGAACTAATTCTCTGTCTCCTACCCCTCCCACAGGTTGGGCTGGCTCAGAGCTCCAGTCAGGATTGGTCTTTCCAGTGACCAGCTCCCAGTCTGAATTGTCATGTTAGTAAACTCAGGAATAATCAAGGAGCTCGTGAATAACAAAGACTCTCCTGTCTCTCAAGAAAGTCCAAGGATTTTCAAAGCTCCATGTCAGAAACCCGGAGTTAACAAAGACCAGACAAAGTCTTTATCGTACAATAGGGGCGAACATTTTGAATTCCTTTAAGAATGTTAACTTTGGTTTTCTTTTTTGAGAAACAGTTTCACTCTGTCACCTAGGCTGGAGTGCAGTGGGAGAGATCTTGACTCACAGCAATCTCCGCCTCTGGGGTTCAGGCAATAGCGTCCAGATAGCTGGGATTATGGATGCCCACCACTACACCCGGCAAATTTTTGTATTTTTAGTAGAGATGGATTTTGCCATGTTGGCCAGGCTGGTGTCGAACTCCTGACCTCAAGTGATCCACCTGCCTTGGTCTCCCAAAGTGCTGGAATTACAGGCATGAACCACCACCACTGGCCCAAGTTTGCCTTTTTTTATTCCTGTTCCTTCAGGAGTGCACAGTGGAGTTTTCCTGGGGATCCATGGCATATAATGACTCCATTGCTTTGATGTTAATATGCAGGGGATTTATTATTGCTATTTTTAAATGCACTAATAAATCCATGTTAATTATTTCTCTTAGTAAAAAACAGTAAACATTCTTAGATATAATCCACCTAAACAAAAGCTATTTGTTGTGCTCAATAATTTTTAAGAATGTAAAGGGATTCTGTGATCAAAATATTGAGACCTGCTGATTTAATTTTTTAAAAACTCAAATTTTACCAATTGTTCCAATAACAAACTTTTCCTTTTCCTCATTTATTTATTTTTGAGATGGAGTTTCTTTCCTGTTGCCCAGGCTGGAGTGCAATGGCACGATCTTGGCTCACTGCAACCTCCGCCTCCTCGGTTCAAGCCATTCTGCTGCCTCAACCTCCTAAGTAGCTGGGATTACAGCCATGCACCATCATGCCTGGCTAAGTTTGTATTTTTAGCAGAGACAGGTTTTCTCCATGTTGGTAAGGCTGATCTCTAACTTCTGACCTCGGGTGATCCACCCGCCTCGACTTGATTACAGGTGTAAACCACCCTGCCCGGCCTCCTTTTCCTTATTTTTCTGGCCAGGATACCACCCAGGTTAAGTTAGTTTTCCTGCCCCCTCCACCTTTTTTTTTTTTGACAGAGTCTTGCTCTGTCACGCAGGCTGGAGTGCAGTAGTACAATATCTGCTTACTGCAAGCTTCACCTCCAGGGTTCAAGCGATACTCCTGCTTCAGCTTCCTGAGTAGTCCTGAGACATGAGCCACCACACCCAGCTAATTTTTGTATTCTTAGTAGAGATGGGTTTCACCATGTTGGCCAGGCTGGTCTCGAACTCCTGACTTCAAGTGATCTGCCCACCTTGGCCTCCCAAAGTGCTGGGATTGCAGATAGTTTTCCTGTCATTTAAGTCCTCATTAATTCTCAGAATCCTACCTAGTTATTTTGTAGAATGTTCCTCAATTTATATTTGTCTTATGTTTCATCGTGACTGGATTCAGCTTATACATTATTTGGCAGAAATACCACACGATTGATACTGTGTCTTTCCCAGTGCAATATCAGGAGGCACATGATGTCGCGTTACTGGTTATGTTAACTTTGACAACTTTATTAAGGCAATTTATTATTCAGTATATGACAAGCAAGCATACTAGTTTGTAGCCTTTTCTGGACAAGTAAGGGTTCCTTCTCCATTTCAATGCCCTTTCTACACCCACCAATGCTATTAGTCACCTTCAAGGGGAAGACTGAGGAGATGGAATTATTTTTAGGAATGATAATAATTTGTTGGGGAAATAGTTGTGCAGCCTTTGCCTCCATCTAAGCATTTTTACATGGTTTGGTTCATTTAAATCTAACAAACCAGTGAGGGGGCCAATTATTAGTATTTGTATTAAATGAGAAATTAGAATTCTAGAATCACATACCTATTTATTATCATGACACGGCTAAGTCGAATTCATAGATAGTTAAATGGTTATTTTAGGCAGCAGATCCTTTTGTATGTGGTATCTGAGAAGCCACTGAGGCAGGAAAACAAGGGAAGAATTTGGGAGGATCTACGTGCAGAGGAGTGGGAAAGAGGAAAGAGGAATACAATTGGAAATAGGATTCAGGCTGAATTCAAAGCCTTAGTGATGACGGGTTCTTAGGTTCGGGTATGTGGGAGAAAAAAACCAACTCGGAGACTACCCTCAGGGCAGAGCGGATTCTTTGCAGTGGGTAGGGGCTGGGCCCGGGATGGAGGGATCGAAGGGCTCTGGCGGGACCCAGATGTGGGTGGGGCAGGGCAGAGTATGGGGCCGGGGATTTTCAATGACCGGCGGGGTTACGGTTGGGCAGCAGGTGGGCGTGGCAGGCATGGGCGGAGCCAATCTGTGAGTGGGTGGGCTTATCGCCGGGCCGAGGGTGGGCGTGGCCGACGTGGGGTGGGCCGCAGCCGACCGAGTCGGACCCGGCCGTCGGGGGCGCTTCCGGGTGTCACCTCCAGAGGGCGCCGGCCGCGGAGCCGCCCTCAGAGTCGTGAGGCCGGACGCAGCGCTGCGCCGACCCACTCGCCCCAGCCGCCGCCATGAAGGCCGTGGTGCAGCGCGTCACCCGGGCCAGCGTCACAGGTCAGTCGGGCGGGGCCGGGCCCGGGAGGAGCCGCCCCTGACCCTCGCGACCGGCAGTCCTGCGTGGGGGTCCCCCTGCGCCACCCTCGGGGCCGCTGCCGCCCCTCCGCGAGCATGGTTCCCGTCGCGAGCTCGGTTCCCGCAGCCAAGAGTCCCACGGGCCGGCTCCTGGGCAGCGCGGCGGCCGGAGAGCTCCTTGCACGTGCCCGGCCTGCCCCGGCGCGCCCCTGGCTTAGGGCTCTCGGCAGCGGATGCAGGACCAGCGCGCCTCATTCTCAGCACCTTTGTCCTGCGTGCCGGGTGGCGGAGACAGGAACATCCCCGTAGCCAGCTCTTCAGGGAGTCTTGATGAAACACGCGTAGAGCATTTCCGGAGCAGGCACTCTTCCCTTTCCACTGCTGTATTTTAAATGTTCCATTTTTGCGTATTCCAATTTTTATGGGGCTTGACTTGGATGAAATGCACAGATACGAAGAGTTGCTCCTTGGGCTGAGCTCTGACAGTTGCGTGCACGCACGTGACTGCAGCCCAGGCTGGATGGGGGGTGCCGCCGCCAGGACACCCCTCGCCCTAGCTCGCTGAACCCTGTGCCAAGGGATCGGGATCTAAAGAACTGAGGATTAAACATTTGTCTTTTTCACTCATTTCTTGTGGACCAACCCACCCGACCACTAGTCATCACTTGAGAACTGTAGTCTCGGTTGAGCATCAGGGTCCAGATGATTAGTGTAGATAATGTCGTTTTAAGAAAACCATGGTACAAAAGATATCTTTTAAAAAACATGGAAATGACAAGCTTTATATTGTCGTTAGTCTTTTCTGTCTTTATTGGCAGAATATATTGTTTCAGTTCAAATAATTTCAGATATCCTGTCCTTGGAGCCAGTCTGCACCAAATATGTGTTCTTATGTCCACAAAAGTATGAATCTTAAAAACAAAACAGGCCGGGGGCGGTGGCTCACGCCTGTAATCCCAGCATTTTGGGAGGCCGCGGTGGGCAGATCACTTGAGGCCAGGAGTTTGAGACCTGCCTGGTCAACAGGGTGAAACCCCATCTCTACTACAAATACAAAAATTAGCCGGGATTGGGTGGTGGGTGTCTGTAATCTCAGCTACTCGAGAGGCTGAGGTGGGAGAATCGTTTGAACCCGGGAGGTGGAGGTTGCAGTGAGCCGAGATTGTGCCACTAACCTCCAGCCTAGGCCAAAGGGTGAGACAGAAACAAAACAAACAAAACCCCCCGAAACAAAAAAACAAAACAACAAACCCCCCTACAGAAATAACCAAACCCGCCAAAACTATGTATTTAAATCTGAGAATCTGCTTTTCACCCTGCCTAATGATTTCTAAGCTGTTCTGGTAACTTCGGTTTTGGCAATGGTCCTGGCATAACAGGGGAATAGAGTAGCACTGGGATTTCGGAATTTTAACGTTTTTTAAAAAAATTTCGGTAAATGTTTAAATTCATGAAAACTGGGAAGATTAATAGATGAAAGATGTTTTGCTTTATTGAGAAGAATCTTACAGTCTCCTGTACTTTTGGGAGGCCGAGGCCTGTGATCATCACTGACAGATTTAAATTTTGATATTCTCTCTGCCGAACTCTCTATCCTTCTAATCTGGAATATTGAAAATATGTATTCTGTGAGATGTGCTGAATAGAGTTTGGGTTATTTTGGTTCATTATTTGAATTATATGCTTTTAGTTAGAACAGCCAAACTTGCATATTTTACCTTATCTTTTTTAGATAAGGATGTTAATTATAGGAAAGTAAAGAATTTGGGAATTCTGGGTTGGGGAACCGTGGAATTCTGTGTTAGAGGGCCCCTCTACTTATGCAGGGCTTCTAGTTGCGTTGTAATGAAAAGGGATTTTTCTCATTCCTTTAAAATGTGGCTGTGTTTGAATGGCATTTTATTTTAGGGGTTCTAAAAGGTTAACTTCTTGTTTTATGGTCAGGACAGCATAGAATATCAGGAGTCACACATTTTATTTTATTTTAAAGTAGTTGGCTGACTTAACCTTTATTTTTAAATTTATGTATTTATGGTTTATTGGTTTTAGAGATGGGGTCTCGCTCTGTCACCCAGGCTGAAGTGCAGTGGCACTATTATAGCTTACTACAATGTCAGACTCTTGGGCTTAAATGATCCTTTTTCCTCAGCCTCCTGAATTGCTAGACTATAGGCATGTGCCACCATTATGTTCAGCTTAGGAGTCATACATTTTACTTTGTGGTAGATTCAATTTATGTAATTGGTCAAATACCTTTTTTTTTTTTTTTTAAAGATGGGGCTTCACCATAATGGCCAGGCTGGTCTTGAACTCCTGACCTCAGGTGATCCACCCATCTACCACTTTGGCCTCCCAAAGTGCTAGGATTACAGGCGTGAGCCACCACGCCCAGCAAACACATTTTTTTTTTTGGTAGTAACCCTTTAATATTATTTGATGCCTAGTCCATCAGATTTCTCCAGTTGGCTAATTGGTTTTGTTTTGGTTTTGAGACAGAGTCTCGCTCTGTTGCCCAGGCCAGAGTGCAGTGGCACTCTCTTGGCTCACTGCAGCCTCCACCTCCTGGGTTCAAGTGATTCTCATGCCTTAGCGTCCTGAGTAGCTGGGCTTACAGGCTCAAGCCACTGTGCCTGGCTATTTTTTTTTTGAAACAGGGTTTTGCCATGTTGACTGGGCTGGTCTCAAACTCCTGGCCTCAAGTGATTGATCTGCCTGCCTCAGCTTCCCAAAGTGCTGGGATTATAGGTGTGAGCCACTGCACCCAGCTTGATCAAACACATTTTGATGCCTTAGGTTGAGTATTGTGATAATCTAATTTTTAAGTTTATTATGGCACATTTCAAACATATTAACAGATGGAATAGTGCGGTAACCCCCATGTCCCATCACTCAGTGGCAGCAGCTAAAATCTGATGTCTGTAAACACAGTGTTGGAAGAGGATTTAAAATGTTTGGGTTTAAATAAGTTAACTTAAGAGGTTGTGAATTCTTGAAGAAATCTCAGGGCTGATGCCACTAGTAGGTGGAGAAATTGACCAAACATCTCAGATCTTTTCCAGCCCTGTGATCTTTTGTTTAAAACGGTGAGTCTCAGATTTTTTTCCCTTGGTGATCCATTTGTTTATAGTAAAAGATCCCTTTGAACCTCCTTGTCCTTCCATTTTTCCCTGGAGGAGGAACAAAACTGCTCCAAAATAAGACACCAGTCTCTGTGTCATATATGGACTTTGGGCCATAATTTGTTTCATGTTATGATAATTATAAAACTATCAAAATTCTTTGATAATGATTCTACTTTTGAGAATCTACTCTAAGCAGATAATCCTAATTGTAGAAAAGGCCTTAGGGTACAAAGAGTTTTACTACATTACTTATTGAAGTGAAAATTTTGAAACAAGCCATATATTCAGCAAAATGGGATGGTTAATTTGTCTGCTAGATGAGATGAATCTATTCAGAGGTGTTTAGGAAAAGGTTATAACATGAAAAAATTCTAATGCAATATTATTACAGAAATGTATAGGCAACATTATTATAATAGTTGAAAACAAATAGGAATTAAAATATATGGAGAAAATATTCAAAGGAAATCATTAAAATATGAAAGTGCTTACCTTTGAGTGTTCTTTTTTCTTGTTTCTCATATTTTCTAAAATGTGTAATCCTTATTTTAATGATAGATATGACTTTGTGACCTTTATTTTTTAGAACATTCTTTGGGAAAAATTTAGAAAGTATATCAGCATTGTAAAAAGTAATGTTGATATATTCAAAGAACAAATAAAGCCAAAGGCTTTTTCTAAAGCAATGCAAATGAGCAGACCAAGCCCAGTTGTTTACTGCTTGTGTCAGGATAGATTATTTCTGTTTCAGCCTTTGAGGCAGTAGCTCAAAGGACAGTAAGTCACACACAGATGGTTATTATAAGAAAAGCAGTGCAGAAGAAAATATTAAAAATTTTTTAGCATAAAAGTAAGAGAAATTAAGCATTACTGATATTTCAGGAATGGATTGATGTGCTCCCCTGGGGTCTGAATGCCAGGTGGTCCCTTGTCATTATAACTGAAGAAAGAGGGAAGTTACTCACCACTTCTTTAACTAGCAGTATATTGCAACGTGGCATAGTCTACGTTATGGTGTTATATTTATAGCTATTATCCAGAAGAAGCAAGCAAACACCAAGAAAATGGGTGAGTTGACCCTTCTATTCCTGATTAGAACATTGGGTCAGTACAAGATGAAGTAGTAAAACAATGTAGTCCAATAAGATTGGCAAATGATTGGCCAAAAAAAAAAAAAGCAGAAAGTTATCAGGAGCACCACTTGAAATGCAATTTAGTTGGGTATGATGGTGTGCATCCGTAGTCCCAGCAACTCTGGAAGCAAAGGCCAGGAGGATTTCTTGAGCCCAGGGGTTCTGGGCTGTAGTGCACTGTGCTGACCTGCTGCCATACCAAGGTTCTGCATCAGGAGAGTGAGCTCCCAGGACCAGAGGACCACCAGGAGGCATGGGCCAGCCTAGGCTGGACATAGAGCAGGTCAGAACTCCTATGCTGATTAGTAGTGGGATTGCCCCTGTGAATAGCCACTGCACTCCAGCTTGGACAACATAGAGAGGTCCTGCCTCTTAAAAGAAAAACAAGTAAGAAAATATAGGGATTCTCTATCATAATGATGGATCTTTTTTTTTTTTTTTGAGACGGAGATTCACTGTTGTCACTGAGGCTGGATACAGTGGTGCGATCTTGGCTTACTACAACCTCCACCTCCTGGGTTCAAGCAATTCTCCTGCCTCAGCCTCCTGGGTAGCTGGGATTACAGGCGCCCACCACCATGCCTGGCTAATTTTTATATTTTTAGTAGAGATGGGATTTTGCCATGTTGGCCAGGCTGGTCTCAAACTCCTGACTACATGTGATTGCCTGCCTTAGCCTCCCAAAGTGCTGGGATTACAGGCATAAGCCATCATGCCTGGCCCATAATGATGCTTCTTGCTACCATTTGAGATACTGTCTAATGGTAGTAGGGCATACACTTGGTTATAAATATATACGCAAACATTAGGAGTGTGTGCTTAGAGACTTTTTTTTTTTATGGACAAGGTGCATGATTGAAAAAGATTTGGAGATCATTGGGTTAGAATGTAACCACAGAACTAAAGTGGGAAATAATAGCAGTTTGATGAGTTGAAGCTTAACACATAAATTGTGATTTTTATGTATTATGTATTTGTCTTCATAGTAGGTAGGAAAATCATTTGTTTTTATGACATGAACATTTTCCACTTTGTGCTTCCTGTATACTGTGTTACCATATTCACTGATTTTCCACAAAAAGCAGGAATCTCCTTTCTAATATAGCTGAGCTGGCTTCTTTTGGGGAGGAAAACACAGTTCTGTTTTTACAGATGGGCAAACTTGACCATAGAAAGTTTTGGGTGTCTTTCTCAAGGTAACACAGATGAAATAAGGCCCTAAGACCCTGCTGAATGGTTGCTCACTTTATAGCTCCCATTCATTCCAGAGATAAAATCAGAATGGATGGGAATTATTATCATCTCACCGCATTTATGTAACTCTTTTCATTTTTGACTATATACTGACTATATAGAATGTATGATGTTTGAAACACTCCTTCGGTGACTTAAAAGTGCTTCATGCCCTTGTTTGATTCTGAGTTCTTCTCTCCCTTTTCATTCCTTTCTAGTTGGAGGAGAGCAGATTAGTGCCATTGGAAGGGGCATATGTGTATTGCTGGGTATTTCCCTGGAGGATACACAGAAGGAACTGGAGCACATGTAAGATGCATTTCTGTCATTGCTATTTGAGTGGGCTATGTGGTGGTGGTTATGCTGGGAACTTCCACAGTATTTTGTACCTGTGAAGTGAGCCCCTGTCACTTTTAACCGTTGTTCCACTGGATGTAGTATGGTTATCTCTGTGTTCCAGAGGAGGAGACTGAGGAAGAGTGATCTGGGAGACCTCACCGTTAAGTCAGCCGTGGAGCAGGAGCACCGCCTGTCCTCTGTCCATTTGCTGCTATGGCCTCAGATCATGCCTCTTGTTCTTTTAATGCAAAAACCAAGCCTCTTTTCTTATGTTCGGTTTCTCTTTTTTCAATTGGGCAGTGTTATCTGGGCACTATGCATTTTTAGAATACCTACTCGCTCACTGTGCACATAAGGATCTAGGACTCAGAGAGGTTAAATTCCTTGCCCCAGATCGTGCACACACACTTAGCAAAAAGCCTGAACCCCAATTAGAGTCTGGGCTCCCAGACTTTGAAACCAATGATCTTTTTACTAAGGTGGTGGCAGCAGTTGAGGAGCAGGGGTTGCCATTGCTGCTGTCTGCCTGGCTCTCTGAGTTTACAAATGGGCAGACTCCACCGTAGAAAGTTTTAGGTGTCTTAGCCAAGGCAACACAGATGAAATGTGGCCCTAAAATCCTGCTTAATGATTGTTACACTTTACAGCTCCCATTCATTCCAGAGATAAAATCAGAATGCGCCCTTTGTGAACCCCCTCCCCTCCAGCACCATGGAGCACATTTACTATAGTTGCTGGATCCATTTATTCCATCCCTCGGTGCTCAGAGCCTGGGTATAACCCTGCCCAACCGTCTCCTTTGTATTAGATTGAAAATCAGACTTGAAACTGAATTCCTGCTAAGGTGTTGATGACGAGTAACTATCATTCAATACTATTTCAGTGATGGTGATATTTTAGTAGCTGTTCCCTGGATACTCAGAGAAGCAGTAGAATAGAGTAATGGCTAAAAACAGGCTATGAGTTTCAATGTCTTTATGGCTCTGACATACTACAGAGCTAGCACTTAGCCTGGTGCTTAAGAGACGTGACTCAAAATAAGACAAATCGTGGCTGTGGAGAGGGGGTCATGAGTAGCACCTGCTCCTGAGGGAGGGTGCTCGTATTAAGAGTCAGTGAATTAGTAGTATTTGCAGTCTTTGAAACTGTCATTGACTTCAACATCATCCAGAAGGTTGACTCTCCACTGGTGGGATTTCAGCTTTCATGCTGGTGGTTCTCTGCTGTGCTTGTCAAATCTAACCCTATAGATGTCACCTGGTCTACTTTCTTGCCATGGCGACTATCCTTCATCCACATGTATAGGGAAAGCCCCTTTGGGGCTTAAGGGGCATGTGACATAGTTGTCAAGGTGTCTTTCTCCAGACTTTTTGCATATTTGCAATAACCATGATTTTTCTCTCAGTGTATTTGCTGAATTGTTTTTTTTTTTCTTTTGAGACAGAGTCTCACTCTGTCACCCAGGCTGGAGTCCAGTGGCATGATCTCAGCTTACTGCATACTCCGCCTCTCTGGTTTGAGTGATTCTTGTGGCTAAGCTTCCTGAGTAGCTAGGATTACTAGCTAGGCACCTGCCACCACACCTGGCTAACTTTTGTATTTTTAGAAGAGATGCGGTTTCTCTATGTTGGCCAGGCTGGTCTCAAACTCCTGACCTCAGGTGATCCACCTGGCTCGGCCTCTGAAAGTGTTGGGATTATAGGCATGAGCCACCTCGCTCAGCCAAATTGTTTATTTTGAGTAGCTCCAAGAAGGAGTGTAAAAATAGATGTCATTTATCCTAATGTGATGAATTAGTCCATGAACAATTAGAATTGGACCCATGTTTTGACATATCCCTGACCTAAAGGAGCAGAGAATAGGTGGTTGTCGCCTTTGCCCTAGCTCCCACCAGTAGCTGCTGTGAACTGGAGAGACTGGCAAAAAAGAAGGCAATCTCAAAACAACCCTGTGAGGTAGGACTGTTTTATTCCATATTGCAGCCGAGGACATGAAGCACAGGGTGGATAAGTGACTTGGCTGAGGTCATGCCTGTCAGGTTAGAGTCATTGTTATGTCCTTATTTGGCTGGAAGCTGGTGACATTTTGGGGGTATGGAGTGTGTCAGGGGGCTTGTGATCTCTCAGGTAGCTCTCACCGCTCTTTTTCCCTTTAGGGTCCGAAAGATTTTAAACCTGCGTGTATTTGAGGATGAGAGCGGGAAGCATTGGTCGAAGAGTGTGATGGACAAACAGTACGAGGTTCTGTGTGTCAGCCAGTTTACACTGCAGTGTGTCCTGAAGGGGAACAAGCCCGACTTCCACCTGGCAATGCCCACGGAGCAGGCAGAGGGCTTCTACAACAGCTTCCTGGAGCAGCTGCGTAAGACATACAGGCCGGAACTTATCAAAGGTAAGCAGGAGAGCCACATCCAGGAAGGGGTCTCGGGGACACTCCTGGACAGATGGAAAAGAGAGCCTGCAATTGTAGCATCTCCTTTTCTGGAAAGTCATTGTTTGTGCTTATTACTTAGAACCACAAAATAGCTGCCACTATTGCTGGTGTTGTACTTAACACATGTCCTCAGAATGCTCCTGCTGGCATTTGCCCTCCTCCCTTCTGCTGTTCACATTTTGAAATTGTTTTGGAACCCAGAGGTTTGGCTAATACAGTGGTGTTTCTTTGATTCTTTAGCTTAGCTCTGTCCAATAGAGTATAGTGCAAGCCCCAAATGTGAACCAAATATGTCATTTTAAGTACTAGTAGCCATATTTTAAAAAGTAAAAAGAAATAGGGAAAATTAATTTTAAAAATATATTTTATTTAACTAAATATATTCAAAATATGATTTTACTATATAATTGATATAAACAATGATGAAATAGTTTACATTCTCTTTTTTTCTAAATAAAGGCTTTATTTGATTAAAACAGTTTTAAGTTTGCAGTAAAATTGAGAGGAAGGCACAGAGCTATTCCATATATCCCTGCCCCCACATGCATAGCCTTCCTCATTATCAACATCCCCCACCAGAGTGGTGCATTTGTTACAACTGATGAACCTAAGTTCATTGTTGGATTATAATAGCTGTTCATGGCACATCAATATCACCCACAGTCCACTGCTTATACTAGAAAATGGAGAGACATTCCATGTTCATAGACAAGGAGATTCAATGTAGTCAAGGTGTCAGTTCTTCCCAATTTGATCTATAGATTCAGTGCAATCCCAGTTGAAATCCAGCAAGTTATTTTGCAGATAACAACAAACTGATTCTAAAGTTTCTATGGGGAGGCAAAAGACCCAGAATGGTTAACAGAATATTAAGAGAACAAAGTTAGAGGGCTGACAGCATGTGACTTCAATACTTATAATAAAGCTACGGAAATTAAGAGTGTGGTATTGTTGAAAGAAGAGAGAAATAGACCAATGGAAAAGAACAGAGAGGCCAGAAGTTGACGCTGATAAATACAATGAATTGATCTTTGAGAAAGGAGCAAAGGCAATACAATGGAGCAAGGGGTCTTTTCAACAAATGATGCTGGAACAACTGGATATCCATGTATAAAAAAGTACATCTAGGCCGGGCGCGGTGGCTCATGCCTGTAATCTCAGCACTTTGGGAGGCCGAGGTGGGTGGATCACGAGGTCAAGAGATCAAGACCATCCTGGTCAACATGGTGAAACCCCGTCTCTACTAAAAATACAAAAAATTAGCTGGGCATGGTGGCGCATGCCTGTAATCCCAGCTATTCAGGAGGCTGAGGCAGGAGAATTGCCTGAAACCAGAAGGCGGAGGTTGCAGTGAGCCGAGATCGCACCATTGTACTACAGCCTGAGTAACAAGAACGAAACTCCGTCTAAAAAAAAAGTACATCTAGACACAGACCACAGACCCTTCACAAAAATTATCTGAAATGAATCATAGGCCTAAATGTAAAATGCAAACCTATAAAGCTCCTAGAAGATAAAAGGAAAAAAAAAATCTAGATTATGCTGGGTGGGATGATGACTTTTAGATACAATACGAAAGGGAAAATCTATGAAAGTAAGAATTGATAAGCTGAGCTTTGTTAAAATTAAAATTTTTTTCCTCTGTGAAAGACACTGTAAAGAGAATGAAAAGACAAGCCACAGATTGAGAAAACATATTTACCGAAGACATATCCCACAAAGGACAAATATTTGCAAATTGAATATTCACAGAAGACGTATTTCATAAAACATAAATATTTGCAAAAGACATATCTGATAAAGGACTAGTATCCAAAATGTAAAAAGAACTCTTGAAACACAGTAAGAAGGGATTGGGAGCGGCAGCTCACGTCTGTAATCCCAGCACTTTGGGAGGCTGAGGTTGGTGGACCATGGTTGAGACCATCATGGCGAACATGGTGAAACCCTGTTTCTACTAAAAACACAAAAAAACTAGGTGGGCGTGGTGGCACACGCCTGTAGTCCCAGCTACTCAGGAGGCTGAGGCAGGAGAATCGCTTTGAACCTGGGAGGTGAAGGTTGCAGTGAGCTGAGATTGTGCCACTGCACTCCAGCGTGGGCGACAGCAACACTCTGCCACAAACAAGCAAACAAATAAAAAAACACATAAGAAAACGATTCATTTTTAAAAATGGGCCAAAGACCTTAACAGATACCTCACCAGAGATGATCTACAGGTAGCATATAAGCACATGAGAAGATGTTCCATATCCTATGTCATCAGGGAAATGCAAATTAAAATGAGATACCACTACATACCTATTAGAATGGCCAACATCCAAAACAATGACAACACCAAATGTTAGTGAGAACAGGGAGCAACCGGAACTCTTATTCATTGCTGGTGGGAATGCAAAATAACGACCCAGCCACTTTGCAAGACAGTTTGGCAGCTTCGGTTTTTTTGTTTTTTTTTTTTTAATTTCCCACAATTACTTTTTTAGTTTCTTGCCAAACTAAACATACTCTTATTAAGTCTAGTAGTTACACTTCTTGGTATTTGCACAAAAGAGCTGAAAACTTATATACATACAAAACCTGCTATAAACACAGATGTTTGTCTGGGCGTGGTGGCTCACACCTGTAATCCTAGCACTTTGGGAGACTGAGGTGGGTGGATTACCTGAGGTCAGGAGTTTGAGACCAGCCTGGCCAACATGGCAAAATCCAATCTCTATTACAAATACAAAAACTAGCCGAGTGTGTTGGCACACACCTGTAAACCCAGCTACTCAGGAGGCTGAGGCAGGAGAATTGCTTAAACCCGGGAGGCAGGGGTTGCAGTGAGCCGGGATCGCGCCACTGTATTCCAGCCTGGGCAACAAAGTGAGACTCCATCTAAAAAAATTAAGTAAAATAAAAAAAATTAAAAGAACACAGATATTTATGGCAGCTTTATTCATAACTGTCTAAACTTGGAAGCAATCAGAATATCCTTAAGTGAATAAATAAACTGGGGGGGTGGGGTAGGGGGGGAAAAGAATTTTAAATAAAAAAGAAAAGGAAAAAAAGAAAAAAAATAAATTGTGATACCTCCAGACAATAGAACATTATTCAGTGCTAATACAAATGAGCCATTAAAAAGAGGAACTTTAAATGCATGCTACTAAGTCAAAGAAGCCAATCAGAGAAGGTTACATACTATATTATTCCAACTGCATGACATTCTGAAAAAGGCAAAACTATGGAGGCAGTAAAAAGATCAGGGGTTTCCAGGAGTTATGGAGGAGAGAGGGGTCAATAGCCAGAGCACAGAGGATTTTTAGGGCACTAAAAATACTCTGTATGATACTGTAATGGTAGACATATGTCATTATAAATTTGCCCAAACCCACAGAATATTGGAGTGAACCCTGGTATATTAGAGACTATACGGCGCCTCTGCACTCCACTCTGGGTGACAGAGCGAGACTCCATCTCAAAAAAAAAAAAAAGACAATCTGAATAAACTTATATCCATTGAGGAAATTGAATCAATATTTAATAGCCTTTCAAAAAGAAAGCACCAGGCCCAAATGGGTTCATGGGTTTATTGGTGAATTCTGTCAAGCATTTAAGGAATAAGTTATACCAATTCTCTACAATCTATCCCTTTCAGAAGATAGAAGCAGAGGAGGTACTTCCTAACTCATTCTATGAGGCCAGAATCTACCCTAATACCGAAACCAGATAAATAAATTACAAGAGCTGGACGCAGTAGCTCATGCCTGTAATCCCAGCACTTTGGAGCCAAGGCGGGTAGATTACTTGAAGTCAGGAATTCGAGACCAACCTGGCCAACATGGTGAAACCCTCTCTCTACTAAAAATATAAAAATTAGTCAGGTGTGGTAGCACACACCTGGATCTCAGCTACTCAGGAGGCTGAGGCGTGAGAGAACCTGGAAGGCGGAGGTTGCAGAGCTGAGATGCACCACTACACTCCAGCCTGGGCAACAGTTCAATACCTCTCATTAAGACAGATGCAAAATCCTCAACAAAATAGCAAATCGAATCCAACAATGTATAAAAAGAATTATCCACCATGATCAAGTGGGATTTATCCCAGGTATGCAAACCTGGTTCAACTTAAAAATCAATTGATAAATCAAGCTAAAGAAGAAAAATCATATCGTCACATCCATAAACACAGAAAAAGCATTTGATGACATATTAAAATGGGGTTTCACTATGTTGCCAAGTCTAGTCTTGAACTCCTGGGCTCAAGCAATCCACCTGACTTGGCCAACCAAAGTGCTGGGATTACAGGCGTGAGCCACCAAGGCCAGCCTAATTAACTCTGTAGTGTTTCCAATGCTTTAACTTTCTTTCTCTGGATTAAGGAAACCCAGATTTTTAAATTAGGCCTATTTGCAACCTTAATTAATAAAATTCATGAAACTTTTTTGAAGCTCTGTAGGAGAGCCCACATTGAGGATTGTCAGCTCATTCAATGTGCTCATGTTTAGATGGGTGAAATTCCTACTCCTCTTTGGCATTTGCCATTCTCTTCCTACTTGTGAAAAATGTCCATTTGCTATAAGAATACATGGATTCTAGATGAACAGGACATTCCCACCTTAATTCAAATCCCACTCTTACTTAGGTTCTGATAGAGCAGAGTAGATTTGCCTCTCCAGGAAATAACCAAATTTAGAACTCCATTTATAAGTCTGGTCATGGATATCTCCGGTGGTTTTTCCTGCCCTGTGTCACTGGGATTCTCCAAAGTGGCTTTGCTGCAAACATGTTTCTTCACAGAATGAGTAATTAAGTCAAGTCCTCTGAGTAATTATTTTTCTTGGCTGAGACAAGGATTAGATGCTGCCAGTATTGTTCTTCTCTGCTTGCAGGTGATTGTGCAATCATTCCTTTTCTGAGTAATCTCAGATGCATTTTAGAACACTGTAAAGTCCCTAGAAACATTGATGAAAGCAA